TGGCTCTTGCGTTGGATAGGACAAAGACCGACGCAACTATTCATGAATGTAAAACCCGGTTCCCGTTGCCCCTGCAGTGTTTGCATATGCGGTGCGGAAAAGAATATAAATGCAATATATTCATCTACGTACATAAAAACAGTCGTTTTGCGTCTGCTTGACAAACAAAAATATTAATATCATTGATCGTCGTTACGATAAAGAGAGAAGTAATTACGAACAACACTCTATTATTCATATGATATTGTCATTGATATCTAGTACACTTTGTCGTATATTCATATGTTAAAATTTAAAAACTTACCGCAGTCCCGTGAATGTAACAGCATACGGTTTCAAAGACTGTATATTGATATGAAGACGTATAATTGCTTGTTCAAACAAGCAGTTTTTATAGGATTCCTCTTCTCATGCACGCATCAGATTTCTAATAAATCATCGGCAATGTTGATTGTAAATATCTTCCTATTTGTGAATCATAGTTCGTTCGATACCATGTTTCGCAATTCTTATTGCTTATTAAGTGTAAATTTGGCTCCAAATATTCAACTTTCCATAATTTTATTTTTAATTCTGGAGATAACCATATGATCGAAGCGTAGTGCATTTGCGGGACTTTGTCCATTTCGCAGTAATCAGTACCCGCTATTGTAAAATACACATTTACTTTCCCATATCCATTTATTACCACATTAAGTCATAGTGCTATAATTTCGCAGACTACGATCATCCGTTTATAGTAACCCTTCCGATTTCCCATCTAGAAGACTTCCTAATTCGTCTAGCATCTGATTTGTCGCAGTAAAAAGTTCTCGCTTTGTCCAGTAAAATTCTTTGACATTCACCTGACAGATTGGTAAAGAAAAACTTGATCTGTCATTCAGGGGCGGCGGATTGCAACTATTACGAGTCCGGAGCAATCAATAACGTCATCATCATCAATCTCAATCATTGGTCGAGATCATGTGCCGCACAGAGTGATCGAATTTTTCACAGAGCGCGTAGACAGTAATAGTCCTTCGCTTTGCTCCGGACAATTATCATTCACTGAAATTGTAAAAAACCCACATGAGCTTATGCGCCGAAAACAATCCTGATTATATCAAGAGTCTCTCAGGCACGGAGGTGTATAGAACGGAGGTTAGTAATAAATTATAGCAGCGCTAGGTTATATGGGGGTGAATAGTTGGCATAGAGCAGAGTCGTAGCAGATCTAGATTTATGCTTGAATTTGTTATGGGTTAAAGAGGAAATTCGGGAGAGAATAGTTCGAATGCTCTTATCTTATATCTATGGACCTGTGAGAGCCTTTGCAATATCGATTAACGTTCTCTCTCTTTCCCATTCTTTTGTTCATTATACAGTTAAACCTCGTCGGCAATTGGTATAGCTAGATGATCCTGAGCAGGATACGCCTACTCCAATCAGAATTTGGCTATACACCACAGGCGTAATAGTCTTTTGGATAGACGATCAAACAATTTTTTTATTGTCCCTTCCTTCTTACAAACGGTCTCATCTTCAAGATTGACTCCCTCGTACCCAACACCAAGCTCAGTGCCTCGCATCACTGTGCCGCCCAAACCCCTAATACTAATGAAGGTGTAATAAGTAAGCACCGAACATAAAAATATTGTCTGAGGCACATTCTCCACCAATGGCCGGCGGCAAAACAGCCCTTGCCCAATTGCTAGAACATTACCTCCTTAATTCGAACAATTGGTTTTTTGTTTGAGGATGAGTTTAAGCGGTTGATGGGTGTGAGTTCAAATACTTATAAACGGAGGTCGGAACAATTGAACCAGCAAATGGTAGTGAGTTATTTTGGGACATATTCAAGAGTTGGAACGGGGAATGCAAGTTCTGCCATACTAGAGTATTAATATAATGAAGCTAGAGATAACGGTAAGCTGTTGTGGACACGGGCGCTCCAGAAACAATATTAGCGTATAACGTCCGCCGAATCCTTGGGAGAGCGGGGTGGAAGATTGCACAGCAATATAAACTTCTTCAGATTGTGGCATTGATGGTCAACTCTTGGAATGGGTGTGGCAGATGGAGTAGTATTGAGCAGCAATGCAGATCCTTCCAGAGACTACTCATACTCATGCCTCAGTGGATGTTGGTGCTGTATTTGTATTTGGTTGTGTAAATGATCATAAGAACTGGGCCATTGAGCTTTTGCAAGATGGTGAGAAGGGAGAGGAACATGTCTCACAGCCGTTCAGTGATCAGGAATATAGATCCCGAATATGTCTGTCCGCAGGCACTAGATGGTTGCCATAAATTTTTCAAGCGTGTTCCAGCGAAACAATGGCATGTTTCAATTTCTGTTCAAGTTGTATTCAGGAGGCAACCAATGTGAAGAGATTTCTTGATGATGGAACCTACAGTGTGATAATGGATTATGCAAAAGAGTATGTGATTATTGACATTAGACAGAGTCAAAACAGTGGATGTTGGTATGAGCTATTCGTGATGACAGATGAGATTTGATGGTAATGGTCCAGGCATGTTATATTTTCTATCAGGTGCTCTAAGTATTGCTGTGATAGTTCAACCTGAAACAAAACAGAACGTTGTATATGCTATGTGCAATGAAAACTTTGAAAGTGTCAGGTTATTGTTTCCTGATGGAAAGGAATAATATGTGCAGTTGCTAGGATCATCAGATATGATGCTGAAATTGGGTATAGATGTTTCTGAGCTGACAAACGTTTCAGCTGTTATAGTTAGTGTTGGTAGACAATTATCAAATATGGTGCGAAAAAAGAATTACAAAAATAAAATTTATATATAGGATTTCTGGTATGACAAATAGCGCAAATTTACGGAATATGAAAGCGATATTAATGTTTCTTAGAGTTAAGTTGCAATTATAGTTGCCCGAAAATAATTTGGAAAAGTTGTCGAATTTACGCTTTTCAAGTTCTCTCTAGATTCGAACAAGATATATGTTTAATGGCCCAGCTGAAAGCGATGAATGGTAAAAAAATAATGTTAGCTGACATCTTAACAGCAAAACGCGTACTAATAAAAAAATGAGATCGTAATACGTCGCTTTGTTAGAAAACGTCAGAAATCATCTAGCAATAAATGGTGTTATTATTATACTGTGCGTTCGTGGTCACATAAAATAAATGTCGCGATGGAAGATTAAAATAAAACGTTGCTACAGTTTTGCTCGAAATAGATTTTCTGTTTATAGGATTAAATAAAATTTAATGGGTTAAGATTTGAATACTGAAACGAAATTTTGTTATCGTATAGTGTGCTACCAATACAAAGTTTTTAACTATATAAGTTCCGAAAACGTAAAAAAAAATTAAAATTTTTATAGGTACGCCCCCCTGCCAAAAGTCGTTACAAGATTTTACTAGTAAACATAAAAATTCAAATCGAAAACTCTGCATCTTTTCGAACAAGCACCAATAAAATTTATATCATTTTAATTGAGAGATACCAGAATTTTATATTCTCAACAAAAAAGTATAAATACGATTTTATGTCGATCATTTAATATAATTAAGCATGTAAAATCTTCATCTCTTTCTCACATGCAACAGTAATATCTTAAAAATTGCTAATATCTCTCACTTAAAATTACAGTTATTATGAACGTTACGCTCTTGGAGAGTAACGGATACCATAAGTACATATTGGAGAAACTCCTGGTGCGTGGAAAGAGCGAATCTGGGAACGCTCAATGTGTTTCAGAAATAATAATAGTATGATTATTAATAGATTTTTGAAGCCCGAGCGTTGATACAATTTCTAGACGGTAGTTCATACGCTCCAACAATAAGCATTGCATTGTTATCTGTTTTTCTTGCGACGCATTAGTATACTGGAATACACGATGTTAAAGCAAGACAATGTAATAAATATTGCGAACTAAAGTATGAAGACTTCTTGAAATTTACACAAAATTCGCACATTTGACGATACTTACGCGGTGCATTATTACGAGTTATGGAAGTCAAATGCTATTAGAAGACTTAAACGAGCAAGGAAAGTCGGCGCATAAAAGGATGCGAGCATGCATCTTTGTCCAACGTAGATGGATAGAATTCATGTATCGCCCAATGGTTTAATAATCAAGCAATTAACTGAACACTACAAAATTTTTGTGGACTACTTCGCAAAGACATATGTAACCAGCAATCTCAAATACTTTTGCTTGAGTAGCGTCAGAATTTACAAAATTTTACGCACGGAGCTCGATTATGTCAAGAACAGAAAGAATACTCGCATCTATGATTTTAATAATTTATCTAGTTCTAACGGGCGGGTGTATCCCAACCCAAACGAATATAGAGAGGATCCTCTCTTGCTCAATCACAATAAACTGTCAACCTTGCAATTATACCAATAGTAAACCTAAAAAGATCCAGAGAAAATTGTTCCAAGATCAGTTCAATCTATGTAACTCGAAGCTTTTTCGATTGTCCGAAAATTAATAAAAATTTTGGATTATATTGTGCTCTTAACGGAGCTCGTACATACAATGAATGAATTATTGTTAGGCGGTATACAGAAAAATGGCGTAACATCACATAAATCTTCGAATATAACCACCGTTCCTCTGTCGGGAGAATTCGTCAATCTTCGGTATTTTGTCAGGTTTCATTGATCGGAACGTAACATTTCTGCGATACGGCTTTGGACTATTGTAACAATTTCTCAAATGTTTATATTTTGGCTCTTTTAAGATGGGGTATCCAATCAAAACTAGATTGTCATTTTTTACATAACGCGTCCCACCTTTTTTCCCGTTAAACATTCGATGAATTTTGTCTCAAAGTAAAAAACTGACCTGATTTAGTTCGTCCGCTGACAGTGAATCAAAAAATGTCAAATTGAGACCTTTAACTCTTTCTGCATTTTTACACTCGTCAATGTAATAAACGAACATTTCGCCCGATCAAGCTTTTCAGTGCGAGCCATTATGTCGTATAGCAATTTCCGTATTAAACGTTTTCATCTTTGGCAGAAAATTGTTTGCTTTGCAAAGCAACTTACCGTAAATAAAACTTTTCCCGCTAATGTATGGCGGATGTAGGGTAAGGGATCACAATTTCAATAGGCCTGAGATTGTAAATCGGTGTCACTTTTCTTTCTGTGATACAAATCATTACGATAATAATAATATAGTCCGTTAAATTCGAACGCTCTTTATTGCGACCATCTTAACGTAAGTACGCATGACAGAAACTTTTGCCCACTTCGAAAATATATCTTGCAAAATTTTTTCTTTTGTGTGATAACATAATGGCCTCATTTCCCACTTGAGTGCGTGATCAAATATGTTGGGCGACATTCGATTATATATATAATATAGTACTTGGTTCACATTGAGTCATTTTCCATAGCAGCTTGTGCAATAGAGAAATTGCTATTAGCAAACGACTCTTCTGTCCAAAGTTCATCGAGCACAATCAGTTTCATAATCAGTCTATTGTGTGACGATGTGATGTCACACAGACGACCAACAAATCGATCGATATCATGAAAGAGAAGCTTTATTTTTAAACATCGCGCGCACGAAATGAATATCGCAGTTGATTTGTCCTCGGGCCTCTTGTCAGATTATGAGAAACTTTATGAGAGCGGCAAATATACGGATGTTTCCATTTATGTTGGAAAGGAGCCTAATAACAAGATATTTTTTGCTCATACACTGATATTGTGTACAAGGAATCCATTCTTTGAAAATAGCTTAACCGGGAATGCAGAGACGTCTAAAGGGATTCAAAAGGCTGCTATGACATTTGAAGATATCTCACCTGATGTTTTTGAAATTCTGCTTAGGTAAACTCACATATTATGCTTATTATCACTATATTATATATTACACTAAGTTCACTGCCAACTTAAATATAAATTTGCTTTTGAAGGTTTATGTATACTGGACAAATTTTTTATGATTCATGCAAACCTGCTGGTTGGATTAATCTTCTGGATGGAGCCAGCAAGCTTAAACTACTTGACCTTCTTGTTGCAATTGAAGTTTATTTGATTGAGAAACAAAAGGAATGGATTCAACAGAATATTATCACAGTTCACAAGTATGCTCTCTCTATGGCTCCTTTGAGTGGACTTTTGGCTTATTGCAATCGAGTTATGGTTTCACATCCAGATATTGTATTTAAATCAAATGAATTCACAACTTTATCAAAGGAGGCTTTGATCAATCTTCTCAAGAGGGATGACCTCAGCATGGAAGAGGATGATATTTGGATGTCAGTTGTGCAATGGGCCACTAAGCAAGTGCCTGGACTAGAATTTGGAAATGATCTAGACAGCTGGTCATCCCATGACATCAACACAGTGAAGGATATTATAGCAGATTGTATACCACATATAAGATTTTTCAATATGTCCCCTGGAAGGACTCTTTTATTTGATGATCTGTTGCCAAGAAAATTGCGTCATGATATACTTAATTGTCAATTGTCAAAAGATTATATCCCAAACAGTAAAATTCTATTACCAAGGGCAGGCCAAAAGTATGATGTTGATTTAGTAGCCATTAACAATAAACAAGGGCAATATGATTTCTATGAAACTGAATCTGAGGTAAAAAAAATTGTTAAAAAGGCTGTTGGATTATACAAAAAAGCAGTTGAACAAGGAAATGTGGTTGCACAATATAATCTTGGCTATTGCTATCAAAATGGAATTGGAGTAGAAAAAGATGCTAAAAAGGCAGTTGAACTGTATAAAAAAGCAGCTGAACAAGAAAATGCTGATGCACAATTTAATCTTGGTAAGTGCTACATAAATGGAATTGGAGTAGAAAAAGATGTTAAAAAGGCAGTTGAATTATATAAAAAAGCAGTTGAACGAGGAAATGCTGTTGCACAATATAATCTTGGCTGTTGCTATCAAATAGGAATTGGAGTAGAGAAAAATGTTAAGAAAGCAGTTGAACTATATGAAAAAGCAGTTGAACAAGGGAATGCTTTTGCACAAGCTAATCTTGGTTATTGCTATCGAAGTGGAGTTGGAGTAGAAAAAGATGTTAAGAAAGCAGTTGAATTATATAAAAAAGCAGTTGAACAAGGAAATGCTCTTGCACAAAATAATCTTGGTAATTGCTATAAAAGTGGAATTGGAGTAGAAAAAGATGTAAAGAAAGCAGTTGAATTATATAAAAAAGCAGTTGAACAAGGAAATGCTCTTGCACAAGCTAATCTTGGTTATTGCTATGTATATGGAATTGGAGTAGAGAAAAATGTTAAGAAAGCAGTTGAACTATATGAAAAAGCTGCTGACCAAGGAAATGCTGATGCACAAAATAACCTTGGTTATTGCTATCAAAATGGAATTGGAGTAGAGAAAGATGCTAAGAAAGCAGTTAAACTATATGAAAAAGCTGCTGACCAAGGAAATGCTGATGCACAAAATAATCTTGGTTATTGCTATCAAAATGGAATTGGAGTAGAGAAAAATGTTAAGAAAGCAGATGAATTATACAAACGAGCAAAGAATATGTGAAGCTAATGTAGTAATAGTAAATAAGCATTAGTACAGGAGAAAATATGTATTAAACGATAACAAGTCTTCTTCTTTGCATAAATCGAAAGTCCCAAGTCATCAATGTATTCACAGTTGATGACAAAATGGTCATTGGCTCCTAGATAAATATAAACGAATTTGACATCCCATCAAATACGCGAATCGTATAAGCAAAATCTTATTACATTAGCACTCCATAAATTAGCATATTAATATTGCATGTATTTTTTTGTCCCCTGGAAGTAGAATATTTGAGTCCTTTATCGAGTTGTTATGATAATAAATCCATTCTTATATTGTCTAAATGGCTGATGTTACTATTGCTCTCGTGCATCCGTTTCAGTAATCCTACGTAGTTCTCATTGGCGGTGTGATGGTTGATCATCCGCATTGACGAGAACTCGGTTTCCGCCAATTCTATTTGTTGCATCAGATTAAGAAGATTACCACTTCAGCTCAATCGTTTGATGAGATAATCAATATACGTATCCTGATTGTTAAAAACGCATGTGACGTGAATATATATATAGTAATAGATGCGGACTAGGCGCTTAAAATGAGTACTTGCTTGAAAAATCGAATCGGGAATATGCTATCAAGATCTAATATTTCGCGTTAAGGAAACGTTCCTTATCATTACAAGCATTATTCATAGGTAATTAGGATGCTTTATTTTCTGTACGTGTCTTTTTTTCATTGATTAGATCAGCCATAACAGCAAATTATAATAAGTGTATCAATTTAATACAATGGAATATGTTAATTATTATATAATTCAAGATTTCGCTCAGTCCTTTGCATTCACTACGACGTCGTTTGCTGTCTGCGGGGCCTGTTCCGACCGTGGTTCAGGTGCCTCTTCATCTTCCAGCCTTCTAATTTGTGGTTCTGTTTCTGGGTATACGTGATAGACAATAAGGCCCACTATTGACATGATGTACGCAAGAGGATACAGCCCATGCATCTACAAAATGCAAGTCAAAGGATATGTTTAGTTAAAAAAGAAACGGCTATTAATGAAATCAACTGACACAACAGGATCGATACGTTACCTTTTGACCAAAGAGAACCAGGGCAAATATCAATCCATAGAAATCGCTCGTAATGAGCGAAAGATTGAAGAATGTCGCTGAGGAAATACGGAAAAGTTGAGGGGCTCCGGTGTAGAGACAGAACATTGCAAAGTTGAACGCGATGAGAAGGCCGACTGAAAGAAAGCATAATAGATATCAGATTAGTGTTCACTCCTTGGGATGCGCACATTAATACAAATCGTCAACTCTCTGCTTACCGATACGACCACTCCAAGGAGTATTATGTAATTCGTCTCGTTCCAGTATAGCCCTATTAAGCATGAGAACAGATAAGTAACAAAATCGTTTCCCAATGGTTCACGCACCGTAACATAGTCTCAACAGCTATACTCACAACTGAACTCCATTGACAATGGTTCCGAAAAAGCCCAACTGACCAACGACCTCATACAATGGAAACTGTCTAACGAAATACTGTTCTCCGACATTAGAAAATCCATAGAAGGTTGAACCGAGTAACAGGAACAGATCTCCCTTTAACATATCAGTGGCTACGGGGGGGGGGGTAAAAAAGAATGAGTGAAAAATCCGACACCGACCGACACATACGCTCACCATTTCGTTGCATTATCCTCGCCCAGTCTACTCACCCGCAGTAATTTGATCCGCTTGTCCAAGAATAACGTCACCACGAAGCAAGACACCGATACCGGCAAAGCACAAGAGTGCGCCTAGATACTGGCTCCAGTGGTACCTCACTCTGAAAAATGCCATCAAAAGAATCATGCATACTAACGTCGACCAATTGTCCAACAACATTGCTGACAAAAGGGAGGTATATTGATATGCTTTGACGACAAAGTAATTGCCCTCGACGTCTATGACGGCCAGGATAAAGTCTAAGATAAAAGAAAACCAAGATGAGTTTATCGTTAGATTATTGAATCGTGAAAAGAATAAAAAAGTTTAAAACACCATTATCGTCATCATCCAAGTAGGAATAGTTTTACGTTAATTAAACTTGGATACCCTTCCATGTCCCCCGACGCAAGCCAACCCGGTATTAAAAAATGACACTTACACATCCATCCCCTGTTTTTCAATATTTTCAACCATCCTTTGAACCCCGCTTTCCAAATAGTTATGCTTGTGTATATCACATTCAACACGATATAATTTAAAAAGCTCTGGGTTGTAGGGAAATTAACGCCTTCTATAGCCAGCTCTTGAGTCGTTACTGAAGTAGCGGTAATGCATAATGAAAGGAATTGCCCAAGCAGAAGAATAATCAAGAACTTTTTCGTGAACAAGAAAGAGAATTTCGAGTCAGACGTGTCAGACTTTGCATCAACTGATTTTTCCATTGTTTTTTTGTGTTAATTGAGCGAAATGAACAAAAAAATTATAACAGAAGGAAAGTTTCGTGAGTGACAGAATATATTTCCTTTCGGTATTATATCTGACTTTTTACACGGGGACCACGGTCGGATCGCTCGCATGACTCGAGTAGTGGCATATATATAGACAATGTTAAACGTTATCTCAACTTTATGTGCACCCAAAAGTTCATGTAGTACCTTTTTTCTCCAAAGGATTGGAAATCGTCTGAATAATATTATCAACATGCTTTACACAAACTTTTTTTTCTTCTTCTCGAATGCAGATCTGGCAAAATCTTGATGACATAATTCATTTTCAGGTCTTTTACCGGAAATTTGTCATACGTTTGGCAGATCCATCACCTGATGATAATCGCTTTCCTAGTTATGTAGATTGCAAACCAACATTCTTAACCATGTTATCAATTTAGGAACTTTCCGACTCGTCATAAAACCGTTGGCTGTTATTCTAATTCCATAAATTGTTAGTTATTATTATAGTCCTGTCAATTTAAACGCTTAGAAATTGAAACATTAAGCAAGATATTCGCTTGTATCTTGTCCCACATCGAATGAGCTTTGTGTCGCGTTTCATCATTAATTACTGGTAACCCTCCAGAGCATCCAAGTCCATAAATGGGAAGTTCGAAACTTATTAACAGATTATCATATTTCTTTTCTGATTTAATTTGACCTTTTTTCTTTGAAAATAAGATTTAATTTTGTCGCTGCATGTTTTCAGGTACACATGCAAGGATATTGTCAACAAACGCCCAAGTCTGAAAACTTGACTACGTTACAAGTTAAAGTTTGTACGATACGTGTACCACACACAAATGCAACATAATTTGATTCTCACGTTAACCCGATGCAAGCGGGCGGTACTTCTTGTGCAAACAGGAAACATTATCGCACAGCAGCAATGTTGTTGTGGGCTTTTTCAGTCCGAATGAGAAAGTATTTTAAACTTCTATGGCCCTTTAAATTTCTATAACAATGAACTTTCATATTATAACGGCGTAGATTCGAATCATTCAAGTAAATTAGGGATGACATGAACGATTATGTTTATTTGTTCTGGACCCAATGCAGAAAGCCAGTCCAGAACGGCGGATAATTGTGGTGCAACATATTCGATTATCGGCATATCTTAAATGATAATATAAACTAGTTCATTTATTGTTCAGACTGAAAAGCCTGACAAAGTTTATTAGTAAACATCAATTCCACCTTTTCTGTCGTCGATTCTATCGTCGTAATCGTAATACAAGAATTCTAAATGCAACATAAGTTAAGTCACTTGACTGCACATCCCAAAACATTTAATATTGTCAAGGCAAAAATTTTTGTTGTCTAACCTGACATGTCAAGTAGACAGTCGTTTATCTATTTTATCGTCGTCAATCATGTGTTGTGTCTTTGCCAGTCTTTTTGTTAATGCTCCATCAAAACGTTCTTTTACAATTTTACATCAGATGCTTTTTATTCACTGTTATCAACTGTATCGATTATGTCATACGCCCCGTCTCTGTTGAGCAACGGCATACATACAGTGAGTGTCATCTCAATAATTACTTGGCAACTCACGCCCCCTTTTTTGATCGGTGATACAAACGGGATTAAATCGCGCACATATTAATATTCACTCAATAAGCTTAATATTATTGAACAACAACTAATTTGGGTCATGCAGCCCGCAGCCCGCATAACATTATTCCTTATATCAATATAATCTACTTTATTTGTTTACTCTTTTAGTATAAGCACAAGTGTGATTTCTAACATCGTTGATGACAACTCTAATAGTGAATCGTAGACTATTTAGTGGTGGAATGCAAAAGCAAGACCAATGACATGCTGCAGCGGGTCATTCGATTAATATGTGACAGGTTTATTCAAATTTTGTTTAGAATATCGACAATGCAACGAGCTTTGTCTGTTTATGAGAGGGAGGAAGCAATAGAAATGTAAAGGCAGTGTGTTGTAGCATTAGAAGATGATATGATATGAAAACATCAACCAATTAAATGCTGAGAAGTCAAAAAAAGGAACATGGTTTTGACTTGCATGATGGCAAAAGAATGTATGTATTTTATTTATTATCTTTAACAATATCTCTAACAAACGTAAGTTCACTGTCAAATATATCGGCTTTAATTATAGTTAGTCTGGTATTATAAGTAATTGCACATCACAGTTTACATTAAACGAAGCCTTGTAATATGGAGTAATGCGTAAATTCACTTGTTGATTACGTCATTAGACTATTACCGTAGATGCTTGTTATAATAGCGTCGAGAATACTCTGGCTGATTCTGCCATTACTGGTAAGTGTTACGGCATTAGTATTATATGATTTGATTGCCATACGCAAGTATCAACTGTGTGTCGCGCTGTATATGTAATGGAAGTCTACTTTCGCGACCAATTGACTAATTAATATGATTGCTGCGGTGAAAACAATTCGTAAACATCGCGCTTGCATAATAATGTCAAGTCTAAAATTAGAATGGCTATATTAATATTCACCTCTGAATTTGTTTAACATAAGAAAATTGGTTTCTCTTGGGTTATTTTGTAGTGTACGAATTACATCAGTCATAGCTTAATCATAAAGAGTCATTAGCAGTGTTTATGTTAGACTAATACGGAATGTGAACACAATTTACCTCTCTCCGTCCTATTTTTATCATGTCTTAATCTTGCCATAATATTAGGTGTATCACTGCACTGCATTGAGAATACTTGCTTTGATTTCATTAACACATTTTTATGGATGATCAGAAAATCTTGTAAACAGCGTCTGAACACTACATTTTAGATGTTACTTCACTATAACCCTTGTTCCCACATAGACAGTGCAAATTTTCTAAAGATAAACTTGTAAATACTAAGTAACGATACGAAATTCTGTAGCATTGACTAGTTGTCTGAAGGAAAGGTGTAATAGTCGTATTCGGGCAGTACTGTAACTTTAGAAACATACACAAGATTTACTTCATAAGTTTTAGGATTGTGTAAAACGCCATTTAAACTTGTGGGCACAGCCATAACCTGTTACTGCGCGCGTTTCGGATTGATTACAGATTCTGGATATACAGTAATTCTTGTTTCAACGGTGTCCTGTATCATTATCATATTAACTATCACTCCTTACATATATACATGGTGATTATAAAGTATTGCGCACACACAATCAGCGTCCAATCTCAATGTTCCGTAACCAATCGAAAAATAACTCTACTCCTGTGAGTTGGAAGAAATAAATAACTTACACAACTGTTTATACGTACTGTCATATTTCATTATTCATAATCCCATTTCACATTACATTAGTCTTGGATTGTCCTAATCGTCCTCGTCATCGTCCTCGTCAGAAGAAGATTCTTCTACGGTTACTCGATTATCATTAATAAATATGTCATCTTCTTCATCTGCACTTTCCGATATTCTGTATGATTAGTAGTATGGTCAATCACATAGCTAGTTAATTCTTTAGTCCCATCACATGCATACAAGCGTCCTG